AGCCAAACATTAGGGTTGTTACCTGATTGAGCTTATCCATTTGTGATGATTTAGTGTACTGTTTTAACAGGTAGGTATGAGGTTGAAACAAAACCTTACCGTATCGGTGGAACGTATCAGTAAAAACATCAAAGAATCACAGGGTGAAAACATTGCTAAATTAACTTTCTATGGTGTGTACCTTGTTGATGTGTACTATACATACTTAATAATAATAATACTTGACCTTGATGCTATTCGGTGGGAGTTTTATGGAGATTTCAGCAATTTTATGGTTGGATTCGTGAGTCATTTGAAGCTAGACTACCACGGAAAATCTGCAAGCACTGGACGGCCGTTTCTAGGTTTTCCTTGATGGTCTAGCTTCAATTGAATCATGAATTCAACTATAAAAATTCGTTCTGGGATTCGTAATGTTACGTATAGATTATTCAATTTGACGGACGATTTGGCTAAGGCTTAGCAGCATTTCATTAACACGCAGTTTTAACATGTTCCTGCTGAGCCACATCACAAAACACGTCAGTCTATCTAAGGAGCAATAGCAATAGTAAGGATATTTTATAGGCCATTATGTTCTGAAATGGACTAAAACAAGGAAAAAAACATTAATAGGCGCAAAGGTGTTGCGAGTTAAGGAATACGAAACGAAATATATTTCAGCAAGGTACAATCCAATGCAAAATAGAATTACCATATACTTTTATATAAGCCTTAGCCACCGCGTTTTTCCTTCATATATGAAGTAGTAAGCTACACGAATGACTCATATCATGACTACTAAAATTGAAACATTATTTGTCATACGTTTAAGTGAAATGACAGTAGCAGTATTGAAATGCCTTTTTTATATAGTTACCCAAAATTGATTTCTAGATGGTTTCCTGCTTGTGCTTGCATCTTTTCGCACTATTACAATATAGCCTGTGTGCAGCGCGTTGGGAGACTGTAATAGAGACAAAGACCTGTTGTTAACGATAAGACACATGATGTACATCCTAGTACAAACATTTTTATTACATCACCCAAGCTTTTTGCATTAAGAGCACAATGATTGCCATTCTTTCGTCCACATGTCTACATAATTCCATAGTTGAAAGAACTTTCAAAATTGAAGCTGTAATGGGTTTTAACTATTCATGAAAAATTTAAAATCGAGTTAGAAAGAGTTGTCATAAGAGATATAATGTAACAATAACTCAAATGACCCCTCAGAGTTGCATCACTTTCGAAATACGCCCGTTTATTTTTTTGACTTACTTGTTAGTCCGAGCTGCGGATTAACTAATTGTATTCGGCAATATTGCCAACAATTATGAGAGGCGGTAAATAAATTCACCAAATAAAATCACTATAACCCTTCAAAAGTGATACCGACCTCATTAGTTTTACTGGACACACCTAGCTGAAAGCGCTCTGTCACGCACATGCACCAGATCACAAGTGGATACTCCGTGATACTCATCCCTTGCAACTGTTGCCAATATAAGACTGTAAGAACATCAACGTTGATGATCTATGTCGAAATGATTGGGGGCCTACTATAGTTAGACGAGAATGGGGACGAACCAACTAACGCTGAAGTCACACCTCGTAGGTACAACTACGGAAGTACAGAAGTGAAAGAATAACCACTGCCGCGTGGGCCAGTCCATGGCGTACGATTGGTTTGTGCGCGTTGACTATCCACGACCTTGACAGGGATCAGTGATCTGTTCGATATTCAGTGACCCTACAATACTCCCCCACCAGATTCAACGGCCGTTTGAGTCGATACCAAACATGTTGGGAGTAGTCGCGCGCCGGAGGTTGCCAGACGATTAATATGAATCCTCCGGGTATTGCCGAGCTGCAAAAGAAATGGAAAGGAGGCTGCAGAAACTGATCGGGAAACAACGAGTAATAACACGTAACAAGGACGTTGGTTGAATGTTAAGCGATCAACCATAGAAATAATAGAAAAAGAAACATTTTGGAGTTTTATCAAGTCGCGTTGAAAAATATAGCTCTGACAAGTGGTTGAGTTCCTCAGGTGAGAAAAAGTAAGTTTGTCGCAAGAGTAGTGATGTCACAGTGATAGTACGATAAGTGTATTATCAATCGGTGCCGATGTTTGTACTGCCCTTGGTACAAAGTAGAAAATCAGTAAGTGTCGCTGACAACCGTTCGTAAGCGTCGATTTCTAGTTATATATATATTCAACAGACCAACTGTAAGTACAGAATTATAACCGTGAAGATAAGTCGTGGTTTCCTTGTGCGAAGCTTCTGATCAACTTGCAGTCAGTTTGGAAAAACTGATAACTGCTGTGAAAATCAATGTGGGTCGAAGAATAGAGAGCGAGAGCGAAAGGTGGCACGATGAAATCTCTAAAAGATGATAATTGGTGAGTGCTGCACACGTGTTTGATGAGTGAACCGAAAAATGTCGAAAAAAACATAAGAAACCAAGAGTGTCACTCTGGACTCATGTCAATGATATCGGTGAAAAATGCTGTCAGTGTTGGGGTCGAGACGACAATATCGTTGTCAGATTGCAGATGCGCCCGACTGCGTAAACCGACGATTCGCGTGAATTAGTGTCGTCAAACCACCAATTGAACTGGAGAGGCTTTAGATCGTCGAGTAGTTGAACAGCCGATTGATGTACCGAAATCATCTGTTAGATAACAGCCACGCGGAAACAATACTTCATAACATAAAAATACGACGGCGAAGTTGAACAACTACAATAGTTCGGATGTGTTGTAACGTCACATCGAAGTAACATCCATTCGTATACTGACAATTGTACTGAACGTTCGTTTTGGCATCGTTAATATAGCAATTGGATGTGTAATAGCAAACATGTACGAAGACTATCGTGGGGTTTGTGGAGAATTTCAGAAGACGTTTAGATATTTTCCAAACCCGTATTGCATGTGAATAAGCCGAAGACGGAATTAAAGTGACTTTCGTGCAATAAGAAAATGGAGCCATGATTTACTGTGTGAGATAACAGCAAACAAAAAAAGCGCATAGTAAACATTAATTTAAATGGTAGCCACCAATGTAACTAAAGTTTAGGTTTAGATAACGTGATCGTTTCGTAAAAAAGCATATTATCTAGCTCTAAGTGACATCAGGTACGACGAAGTGTCTCATTAAGACATGGACTAAGATTGCTCGTGTACATGAAATACGTTTTTTCGGAGTATGTTGACTTACGAGTCATAAATGTAAGTAGTTTCGACCAAAATTTGATGGCAGGGACAGAATGTATGTCTAAGTGAATGTAGCCGCAAAATGTTTAGACATCATAAACATTATACGAAATTATTTAACAGTTATGAAACTCGCCTGGGTTACTCTTGCTTCTAAGTAATTGAAATTTGTTGATTAAATTCGTAGATTAACGAAGCGTTGTAGACTGAATTGGTATGCGTCCAAATTTAATTTGAGCCAAAAACGTACCATTGCCTGGCGAAACAGTCTAAACAAGATCTAATATTGCAGGAAATTTATAGTTCAAACTCACCGTAAATTTCTAGCATTTGTATCCTCTGATTCGCCATGGAACTCAGCAATTGGAAATTAGGCATGCAGTGGTCAAGAAAGTAAAATATTCTAGTAGATAGTTTTTGATAGTAGTTAGTTGGCAGTGAATAAGCAGAAAGATGAATTTAATAATCGGCAGTTTATCCTGTATTGGTTATACAAGTGGATAAGTTGCAAACAGATATGCGTACGTGTTGCCTTGAGGCCATACTTACGAGTGGTTGGTATTTTAACAGACATATTACACAGGAGCATTTACATGCTGCTAATGCTTGTTAAAGAACCACGATAGTCGATTATAGTCGTAGTTGATTGGTTAGTTCTATCGATTGAACTAATTATTTCAGTTGAAATACTAATCAACATTGATATGAAGCAACGAATGTTCACAGAAACTGATAAAGATAGCCGAAGTTAAAAAATGGAAAATAATAAGTACCGAATGTAATGAAAAAGAACATAATGATAGGTTGCGTTATTCGAAGTCTTGCTCACCAGTGTAAGACCATCTACGTTGATGATCTATGTCGAAATGATTGGGGGCCTACTATAGTTAGACGAGAATGGGGACGAACCAACTAACGCTGAAGTCACACCTCGTAGGTACAACTACGGAAGTACAGAAGTGAAAGAATAACCACTGCCGCGTGGGCCAGTCCATGGCGTACGATTGGTTTGTGCGCGTTGACTATCCACGACCTTGACAGGGATCAGTGATCTGTTCGATATTCAGTGACCCTACAAGACATTTATTTTTAACTTCTGATTTGACTGGGTTGGAAGACTTCGACTATAAAGCTGTTACGTATAAAAACAATGTCAAAATTCGAATGCCTATTGCACCTCTAAATAAACAATCCTACTCGACATGCATGCATCACAGAATAAGCCAGGCAGTGTATATCCTTGAAAGCTGTTGAACAACTTTAAAAATAAAAACTACCTGCAAACCACCATATGGGACATTTTCAGCCTAACACTAACTACGCCAATGTTGTACAAGTCAACTAAGGATATGTCATACTGCACAGCTAAACATTTGAGATACAAATGTCCGATGTAGTGAAAAGTTTCAGAGTGATACTGGGAACTATGTTTGCAAATAATCTTTCCAAATGCCCTCTGTGACCACCGGACCAACGGGAAAATGCTAGATATGAAAAATGATAACATGTAATATACATCTATTCTACATTTTTATCGAGGTACCTGTGGATCACATGTCCGGATTGTTCAGTAACCCAATTAAGCCATGGAAAAGTTGCCGTTCATATTTTGTGGTAAGAGAGCCCAGTGCTATGACACATTGTCAATATTTTCAAGTGTCGGTTCTGAAGAACCACATTCTTTTGGCTTTTACACTAAAAGATAACGCACAGTATGCATAAATGTATTTGGGAACATAAATGGTTAATTTTTGGGCTACGAAATCTATTTTCTCATGTATGTGTTTTAGTTTCTCGAAGACATTTGCCTTCTCAAGGTTACCCATCAAAGCCGTATATTTGGCACCGGCATATAATGGTGGTGAGTTCTCTGTCAGAAGATTCGGACATCACTTTACGATATCTTCCTGGACTTTATGAACTGATCTGACTTGTTTTACACTGTGCTTGCCACAGATAAAAATGACTGAGGGACTATCAATATGCATATCGTGAGCCTGGAATTTATTGCATAGTACATATTGGTTTGGCTCTGTTTACTCTCATTCATGCCACTTTAACTGTATGTAAAACATTTATCACAAGGACGTGGAGGTTTTAATTCATTTCCGTCCTCAATATGCAACTAGACGGAATGGACTCACTTATTAGTAGCTACGTTGACTCACTTCAGATCCTTCCCTCAGAAATGCAGTCCAGAATAACCGCATACCTTCAGTCAGATCTTCAACAACGCCACTTACTGACACTAGCTAGGCGCACTGTGGATGAGATGCAAAAGTCTGTGGAGCATAGTACCAAAAGAAAGCATTTAGATCAACTCATGTATGTTTTAGTTGCGGTCCAAAACATATGCGACCGCCGAATCAATGATCTAGATGAAGTAAGTCCAAAAATCTGCTGTAATTATCTGGCTTTTACTTTGAAATCTCTATAAAATTGTCTAGCATATTTTCTGGGTGGTTTTCTTAATATTGACTCATCGACCATGTACCAATCCGCATACTTGACTCCCACTCACTCTGAGTGTGGGGTTATTTATTTATTTATTTAAACACATAAAAATTGGTACAAGGAAGCACCAGATAAATATGCGCCTCACAAATCTCATTCGATTTGTGTGAGGGCTGTGATACTGCCCAGGTGCCCAGACTGAAGCAGGCTGAGTGTGGGGACGGTGATATTATTCTTTCCCCAAAACTTCAGTAAGTAGGGCGGGGTCCAGAACTGCCATCTAGTGTCTGGAAGCCCAGCATCGTAACCACTAAGCTATCGTCTTACAATTTTTCTCTTTCGGGGGACTGACTGACATTCTGCCTTTTGCACTAAAGAGGAAAATAAAACATCTGCAATTAATATCACCCAATAGTTACTCCTATGTCTGATTGAATGGTATTGTAAAAACTTAGTAGGGTCGAAAAACAGGTTGCCTGTTCAATTTATGAATAAGCGATCATATGTAATTGCGTGAGTGGGAGTTAGTGCAATTAACAGAGATATCTAGAATAAAGAAGCTGTTATGGTAACTGTTCGCTACATCTGTTCTGTGACCACTACTTTTCTGGGAATCACCAAGTTCAGGTTAAAGGTCTAATATTGCCACTTTGGAGTAAAAGTTGTTTCGGTATTCTGGAATATGTGGTCAAGTTCAGATAGTGTCAGTTGGTCTACTCTAATGAACACAAAGTGAATACACTTCTTGGCAATTTTTCCAAACGTCAGTGTCAACTATGCATTTAAAACAGATTCATATGGCTCTTGAAAAACGTCAGTCAGGAGAAACGTTAAACGTGTCATATGTGCATCATCTGAATTCACTTCAGGACATAAAAAAGGACACATCATGATAAATACTGAAGTGGTATTAGCAGTAGTGCTAGTAGTAATATAAGCTTTAGTAAAAAAAAGATAAAACAAGACGTGAGAGGTTCTGAAGCGTATCGTGATTGGCTCTGAAAGTGGCAGTTGTGTAGACTTAATATAAATCTCGGCAAGAATTGCCGTTTATCTATCGTCAAAACAAACTGACTCAGTCGTTAGAACGTTCAATCAAACAGTCGGCCCAAAGATCCAAATCTTATTTCTACCCTGAGAACCAGTTCACGTAACTAGATCTGATGCCAAAATATCTACATCAAAAGAGAGTAAACAAGTCCGTTTCATTGGTTCTCTAGCTACTCGTTATCCATCGAAAAATTGGATGATATTAAAATCATTGTCAACATAATTAAGCAATGTTGAAAAAACACCACCTATCATAAGTATACACGATATCCCAAACTCTGTATTAACACAATATTAACCACCTCCAAAATAGGCTATTTCTGTCTGTAACTAGTGAACGTTCAATGTAATATGACACCAAAGTGCTCGCCATTTAAAGAAAAAAGATAGTTGTTGGAAAACAGTAAACGACAAAATTTAGATTCAGTATGCGATTAGGAAGTGTTGAGGAATACAGTTCACAATCAACATATATTTCTCTTAGTCCGAAGGTACATCTTACAGTTTCTTAATAACAGTAAGAAATACAGCAACGTAATTATTAATTTTTGAAGTCACGCCTAATTATCTCTCAGACTATCAGGTCACATGATCTCCAAGAGATTAGGAAGCTAAGAAGCTAATTAAAAATACCTTTACTATTTTTCAGAGCTGCTATAAGTTAAACCACTCTCTGTTATTTAAACCCATATCAATAAGTAATAAACAATATGGAGAGCTGATAAGACGACACTTGTGAAATATGTCAAGACTATAAACCTGCTGTTTCTAGGTGAAATCACTCAACAAACTGTTTTGAATGCTGTCTTGATGATTAACACGTTATGGGTTAAAATAACAAGGTTCTAATAGACAGGTGATGAACAATAATACGGTGTGGTCGACCGACGGCTTCTCACGAACCGGTTATTGGAGCAAACTCACCAGACAAAACATCCCAGCAGAATGGGGTCCTGACAATTGATTGATCACTGGGTGGTGATCAATCTCATGCATGTCAGGTCCTTCTTAGTGCTGATCGAATGCTATCGATCGAGTTGCAATGTGGCCACCAGTCTAGGTGGCTCGACACTGCTTGCACTATATATACTGATGTAAGATGGTGGTTGGAGGTGACCAACAGGAAACCCTGGACCCGGGTTTCGTGCTACTTGACACTCGTCAGCAAGGTGCACATTGCAACTCGATCGATAGCATTCGATCAGCACTAAGAAGGACCTGACATGCATGAGATTGATCACCACCCAGTGATCAATCAATTGTCATTACATCTCAGTCCTACAGGAGGTTGGTCGCGGCCCGAATAGCTCAGTGGTAACGTCTCTGACTGTGAAACTGAGTGACGCGGGATCGAATCCGCCAGGGAGCATCAGTTCCCTCAGGATCACAGGTACACCTTGCTAACGAGTGCCAAGTAGCACGAAACCCGGGTCCAGGGTTTCCTGTTGACCACCTCCAACCACCATCTTACATCAGTATATATAGTGCAAGCAGTGTCGAGCCACCTAGACTGGTGGCCACATTGCAACTCGATCGATAGCATTCGATCAGCACTAAGAAGGACCTGACATGCATGAGATTGATCACCACCCAGTGACCTCAGAATGGGGTCCTTTTAGTAAAATGATGTACCTGTTGACAAAGTCTGACTCATGATCGCTGTACGATTATTTCCTAGCTTGAAGTATGTTACCACGATTTAAGAAGGTGATACTTTCACACAATACATTTGTTTCCTGCAGTTATCTCATTCATGCTGCCTATTAGTATCACGGATTTTTCTCTTAAAATCCCCTACAAATGAAATGGTCACATAAATAATTACTTTCAAGTTGTATTCCCGATCGCTTGAAGCCCAAACACCGGTCATCTTATTCACAACACACTTCGTAGAGATGTTAAGGTTTTTGTGTGATTGTATACTCGTCGTTCATCGACCTCACTCATTCCTTCTAAATTTGTATCTAGGTTTCTACTTCAGTAAATAATGATAACCTCTCTCGTTTCACTAAATTTTTGGATGTGCTGGTGTGAAATGTTTTATTTATTTAAACATAAATATTGGTAAAAGGAAGCACCAGATACATATGTGCCGCACAAATTTCATTCGATTTGTGTAAGGGCTGTGATACTGCCCAGGTGCCCTGACCGAAGCCGGATGTTTTCTTGGAGCCTTTGACATAGAGGTCCGATCCACAAGGCAGTGGAGCGACGTCAAGAGATGCAGTCCCATTGTAGCCGGTGACCAACGATTGATTCATACGCCATTTGTTCCTTCAGGATACTGGAGTCCATATACACCATTGGATTAGAGTCAGGGTTTTCCAACTCCCCTAGGTGAACCCTCCGTGTCCACCATCCCGGTTAAGGCGCAGGATATTCGCTTTTCGTCCTCACAATTTTGTAGACAACACCCCCGCCACGAGAAGGCAGTGAGTAGGACTTCCCTGGAAGTGGTTGTATGTACGTGGCCATGTAAGAGCATTTCGAGAGGGAGAGTGGACTCTCCCCACTCTCGGCCGTACCAGGGCATTTGGGGTAGTGATGATACTCATTAATTTAAGATTTTAGCTCATAGATGACTGGTTCAATGACATGTTTACGGCTTTCCCTCAACTATTTTTGTTTCCCATTTTGCTTAATTATTTCCTGAGAATATGAGATTGTGTCTTAAACTTACCAAATGTCAAGGAGTTGATGACTAAATTCGTCGCTGTATGTTAGTCGTCATGAACTGCCGTATATAACTTTTTGAATTTATGTAAATTACGAAATTTGATGTGTTTTTATTCACCAAACAACATTTTTATGTTGCCACAATCCTTTTACACTTTTTTGAATTTTGTTTAAAAAATTTATTCAGTTAGATGAAGTAATCGAATCCCATTCTTTAAAGCTGATGAATGCTAAAATGAAAGTTGATACAATTGATCCCCAACGTACTCATTCAAATGCGGAAAATGTCCCTGAAAGTGAAGTCGACACCAGTGATCTAGAACTGTCTAATCCTCAATACGATTGTAATGTACTACGGCGCAACTTGTCTCAGGAATCAAGTTTCGACAAGTGCACTAGCTACTCTATACCAAACACACGATGTAGTGATATAAGCATTCGAGGTAAAGAACGCTTTCCATTACGTGCTGTTAGCACCAATAGTCGGACTGCGTCACGTCGATCACTGAACAAATGGGTTTCAGGCGTTCATCGCCTCAAACCTGCTAATTCAATCGGTAATACAAATGCCAACAACTCTCTAAAGTCCAAAGGTGATGCTAACAATAAATCTACAAGTAGGACTTCAGTGGATCTCAAACAACATAAAGTAAGTGTAACATATACCCGTTACTCTCGAAGTCAACAACAGCGATTCAAAAGTCATCGTGTATTGCCAAGATCACTTCACCCGAATCGTGCAAGACCTCAGTACCTAGAGTACGCTATGCTGAGACATGGGTCTCGGAGGAGAAGAAATACGGTGTCGAAATATACTAATCTCGACTCTTCTCGAAATAGTGAGGAAACAGATCTCGTCGGTAATGTGAAACGACGACATGAACAAAGCCATTCTGGTTTTTACAAAAACGAAAATTGTTTTGGTTCATCTAATAAATCAATAAGTGATTTAAACAATGAAGATAAAATAGAAGAGAGAGATGCTTATACCCTACTTAGTTTAAAAAGCCCAAAAAGGCTGGGAGATAGGTCGTCTGATTGGAATAGCAGTTACAATGAAAATGAAAATCTGGTTGATGTAGATTGTAGTGACAGCAATGGTCATACCGCATATGATATGGGATGCGATCAAAACTGTTCTTCGCAGGAAACACAAATCATCAGAACACTAACTAATCAACTAACAAACGCTCAAAGTGGTGAACCAAGTCGTCAAAAGATGTATAGGCTCCGAAGAGCTAGTAACAATGTACAGTCAACACAATCGTATCACCGACCCAGTTCATCTTTTCCATCTGCATCACCAGAACATGGATCTAATCGCAGTTCTTTAACATCTCAGAGTCTTAGTCACAACAACACTAGGCGAGGATGTCGAAGTAATAACACCGTACGTCACAAAATGGATCCTCCAGTAAACACAAGGTCTCCTCCAGGAAATCCATTTAAGTATGGATCACATGCTGATGATATGAATGCATTTCGACACAAAGTAATATCAGAAAACAGCCCTAGTCATAGTATGAGTGAAGCAAGCGTCAGCCCAGATGAGCGTCTGTACTGTATATGCCAAAAAGTATCATTTGGTGATATGATAGCTTGCGACAACAAGTTCTGTGAGGTTGAATGGTTTCACTTCTCATGTGTAGATGTTCGGGTTCAACCTAAGGGTAAATGGTATTGCCCTTATTGTCGAGGAGAGTCTTCAAAAATAAAAAGATCCGATATCTAATGTCGTTTTTACCCCCTTAGAATCCATTATAAGGATAACGATTTTGAAAAAGCCAAGTCATGGATGATAATGCATAATTATTATTGTTTATTCAAGTAATATTATAAATTGAGTTTCCCCAAACCTTCTACAACTTTCCTGGTTTCCAGTAATTTTGAACGGGCTTTTTGGTACGCTTCTAAATGTTGAATAAAAATGTATATTAAAGTATAACCTACTTATTATCGTTGAAACATCCATGTGTGCAAGTGCTATCCTGTAAAAAAAACATTGTTTATCAATTTTCAAATGGAGACTACCTACCTTCTTTGCTTCTCATCCCCCGCTGTTGGACATTTGCTCATAGTCCTGTATAGATTTGACCTGCATGTAAAAAGAAACAGTTTTACTTCTCACGACAAAACTGCTTTGTACTCTGCACAAACATTATTGTTAAGTGCCATTTAGTATAATTTCTGAATAGGAAATATCTTCAAATATATAGTGCATCTCTTTTCGTTCTACAAATTTTTCTACTTACTGTCAAGTGTATAGTGTATTCATAGTATCGTATCAATTAGGTAGTGAATTTCCTGAGAGTCCGATCTGCCAGGGCCTTTGCTCGTATACTAGGCAAATGGGCAGTATCACAGCCCTCAAGCAAATCGAATGAGATTTGTATGGCGCATATGTATCTGGTGCTTCCTTGTACCAATATTTATGTGTTTAAATAAATAAATAAGGCAAATGTGGCGAACCGATTGGCGAAGTAGTAAACCTTTATCGATCGAAATAGTAAGGACATGGGTTTATTTATTTATTTAAACACATAGACATTGGTACAAGGAGGCAACAAATAGATATGCGCCACGTAAATCATTCGATATATGTAAGGATCGGGATACTGCTCGGGTGCCCTGACCGAAGCCGGTTGTTTTCTTGGAGCCTTTGACATAGAGGTCCGATCCACAAGGCAGTGGAGCGACGTCAAGAGATGCAGTCCCATTGTAGCCGGTGACCAACGATTGATTCATACGCCATTTGTTCCTTCAGGATACTGGAGTCCATATACACCATTGGATTAGAGTCAGGGTTTTCCAAATCCCCTAGGCGAACCCTCCGTGTCCACCATCCCGGTTAAGGCGCAGGATATTCGCTTTTCGTCCTCACAATTTTGTAGACAACACCCCCGCCACGAGAAGGCAGTGAGTAGGACTTCCCTGGAAGTGGTTGTATGTACGTGGCCATGTAAGAGCATTTCGAGAGGGAGAGCGGACTCTCCCTACTCTCGGCCGTACCAGGGCATTTGGGGCTAAACACCCTCTACCTCGACGGGAGATATAAGGTGTAGTAGTAGTATGTTGGATGTAAGATCTGGCATCAGTTCATGAAGCCATCAACAACTGGACTGAGCTATGCTAATAGGCGTAGACCTCCCCAGCTGTATTCGCGTGATTATTGTATCTAATGGTTAGAAACTTCACGTGACATGGCTCAGAATCGTTCGCAATGGCATAGATGCATTCATTCTTTGGATCAAGGCCTTGCTGCTTACAATAGTCAATGTCACAAAGTCCTCAAAAATAAACTAGGAAATGTATGGATTGCTATTTATCTTGTAAAAAATGGGTGGGTGTCTGCACATTGAAAATGGAGTAGTCTCGCTTGAGAAGAAAAACAGCAGCTGACGGATATTGGTTTAAAAAGATCACTGCAGTTTAGGTACTGACAGTATGGAGATGTGCACGGAAGGTTCAATAATTCTAGAGCTATTTGGTTACTTACCAGCTTTGGATTGCACAATTTAAATGCAGAAATATTTTTCCCGTGGTTTTTGTACGAAATCCATATTTCACTAGGTTATTGCTCTGGAAATTTAAGGAAAGTCGTTTTAGACATACAAGCACAGACATCTGCTCGTAATAAATAAAGCACTTTATTAATTGTACCAAGTGGGAGGGACTTATGTATTTAATGTTTGTACCTATAACGGTTAAGTAAATTTCATCCAACTTAATGACGGAGGTCCCACTATGTTAATGACCATCAAATAAGTGAAAGGAAATAGTTTTATAAACCAACTTCAACACTAATAATTCGCCGTCAGCCCATGAGTGGAATATTGTGTAAATCAAATTTCACTGTCAATATAAAGCAGTTTACAACTACCTTAAGCTGAGACACTGCTTCGCATTGAAACTAGGTGATGACCGCTCAACTGTAGATTGTGAAAATGTCTTTTCACATTCTCATCATTTTAGAACGACATTGTCGATACTCCCTTAAAATTTTGTACGTTGTTTAAAGCTAACTATTACTGATAATGTATGATGAATATGATAAGTTCGGATATGTCTTCGGTGCATCCTCGTTTTTGAGGTCTGAGACCTCAGGAGTGGGAATTAATGTAGAATAGAAGTTTATGGTTTCTACACAAATTAAGCACTTCTACTGGAAAGTTTGCAGCTAATGATACAATTCTGTTAGTAGTCGTATAAAGAATATTTGGGATATAAAGTGTTCCTGGTCATTGTTTTGCGAACTGCGATACCAACCCATAAAATTTAGGAATTCCACCTAGCACTGAGCTTAGCTGCTTGGATTTTAATTTCGACAGTTGAATCTGTTGCCACGCTAACAAGACTTAATGTTTTCAATGCATAGGGAAAGCATGCGTTTTGATAACTGGCTTTCGATCAATTTCCGCAAGACAGCAAAATGTGGTTATTCTAATGTTCACTGATGATTCGTTGAGGTATCCAGTATTTTTGGAGGACTTTGTTGTGAGTAGGAACCGATGTATAATTATATAATTCAGCTGAACAAATCAGAACTTAGACTCATATATACTAGCTGTTATTTGCATCTAAACATCTTTCCATAATTCCACTGATTAATCTGTCATAACGTTCCACACTACTCAACATAAATTGTAGAAGCGATATTCATTCCCTGGTCTCGGTATGTCCATCAGCTCTCCCGCTTAGTTTGCTGTTCAGTGTTAGATGATTCTTAAAAATTCAGAATTTGTTTATAGAGTTTTTTGTAATGAATCATATTGCCACTGAGCGAGGTAATAGCGCCCTTCATTTGAACGCGAAAGCTTCATTTATTGAAGTCTACAATGAGCCATTTTACTACTAATGTCAATCTAGTTGGGAAGATTATATGTTGATTGCATTCATAGTCATTATCGATAAGCCCAACAGAGTAGGCGAAAAATTACCAGTTCATCTATAATTTGACAAGAAAATATTGAATACAAACATTACTTCGCAGTCTTAAGGTCATTATCTCTCTAAGAAAAAGTTCCATTGTCACATCGTTTACTAATTTCATGTTCGCATTTTCCATCAAATAAGTAGTCCTATTGATTTTCATACTCACTTCAAATGATCCAGGTATTTTGGCAAATGTGGGGTCCTCTAGTTGGCATGTTCCACCTATAAAAAATCTTCTTAGTTCTTCTACAACAGTATCTCCTACCGGGCGCCAACAACTCACACCAATTGAATGAGCACCTGCAAAAAGTAAAGAATATAATTTTACGCGTTCCATTGAGGTTTTCATGTTATCAACTCGCTTACGGCTTAAGAAAATTTCAGTGACAATCGATACTCTGCCAAACTTCACATGTTCGTAATATTTCTATCTCTACGTCATAACTTTAATTAAATCAACATGCCAAAACATCCCGCTTTTTGATAAGTCATAACGTTAAGTAGCTTTACTTAGGCTACAAAATTCAACTAAAATGGACTGAGTTCTAACGGATCGTTAACTGTTAGCTAACATGGAGTTTTTTCTTCGTAAGGTATATTCAAATGTTGTAGACAAGCACCAATGTACAAGTACTAATAATTCTTTTTTTCCTTTGTGTACACGTCATGCTTCAGTGAGGTGATTTTTGACAGCCAAGTGGGTTGCTATAGACAGCCAAATGGAATTAATAAAGTTGCGTTTGTCACAAATGTCTAAGATCATATTTTTGCGTGTGGTTATTCAAGATTGCTTCGTATTTTAGTATTCGAAATTATTTTCTAGTTAGAGTCTATGCAGCCAAGTTATTTAATCTTACCAGCAGTGCGGGGAATTTCTGTGAATCCATACCCTTCAGTTCGACTCCGAGTCCAAAAGTCAAGCGACTGAACTTCAAAATACAGTGTAGGCCATATTGAAACCGATCCTTTCGTTAAGTCTAAGAGATAATTAAAGTGATTTAAATATATATCTATCCGTTAATAAAGTTAGTGATATTTACTCCTACGTGACCTGTTGCTTAAAAACGTATATAACTCTTAATGGTTTCAAGTTTTAATTTAATCAGTCCCGGTTTTTTCCACTGTAAACTGTTAATTAAAACATTTCCCTTAATAATTATGTAAAAAACTGCGCTTTCAAGCACTTTATGTATTATATTGATTTATTTCTTATGTATTGTATAGCCTTAGTCTGGCCTGATTAAAAAATACCATTCCGCTCTACGTAGGAATCTTAAAGACTGTCAACCACATAACTTCACTCTTAATTATTTACACACTTGAGTTTTTGGTTATTATTATTATTATATCGAATCTCAATGGGCTACTTTTTCCAAAGGTTTCCTATTATTCATCATTCTGTAAAATAAGATCTAGACAGACGGAATTGACATGCACGTAAAGTCGTACACAAGAATTTGATATAGTGAATGGTTTGTGCGATCGACAAAGGATAGAATAAACCCACATCCTTCAAGGTTGAAAGTAAATTACTCTTAATTCCTCCTGCAAAATGCTTTTTACTCATGTATCTCATTCTCTTCCATTATATATTATCTCTATTTTTCACTAGAATGTAGTATTGAAGTCGTTTCAACTACACATTCTGCGATCTTTATACAGTATTCATTCGTACCATATTGAATAAGGCGAGCATTTTTGACTTGTATTGACGCTAAACCAGTGCTGACATGACCAGATAAAAATATGACACTATTTATGTCAATATTTTCTGCATCGATTGATTATGAATTTCGATCACGGAGACGGGTGTGAACTTTGTTCAGTGGAACAATTGCATTCCGCGTTTCCATTAAAGTGAACTGCATCCAGCGTGTCTGCCTTTACAGTACTCGACTAATTTTCCCCTACATATGATATTATTGAGTGTAAAGATCAGTCTAATGACGGCTTGTTTGGAGACGTATTTTTGGGAAACCAATGAATAATAATTCCACCAATCATGGTAAGCAGAGATGGATAGTGGCTAGCAGTGGAATCCAGGACGCGCGTTTCGTCCTATTTGGGACTCGTCAGCTGGATGTACCTGCATCTCAGAGTTGATGTTCACTCTGGGACTCGAACCCAGTACCCTCGCTTCAAACGCCATCGCGTTATCCACTCGGCCACTGAGTCCTGATAGCCACTTGCTTGTGCGATGGGGTGAAGTTTGAATTCACTTAGTATTGTTTGTTTGGACAAGCACAAGCAAGTGGCTATCAGGACTCAGTGGCCGAGTGGATAACGCGATGGCGTTTGAAGCGAGG